GACATATATTTATTGAAAAATCAAACTCATTCGCCGAATGTAAACAAACCGCGCGATTGCATAAACGCTTATCTATGGCATGGAACACCAAAATCCGATAAATAATTTAAAAAAATGTCTTTCTCCAGAAGAAAACCGGAGGTTTTCAGGATTTTTTAGAAATATCCGGATTTCCGGATATATCCGGAAGACTTTCATTATTAAGGGTATACACTTTGGTTGGGCAGAATATAAAGAGGGGAAAAGCCAAATAAGCCCCAAATGTTGCAGGGATTGGCAGAATAAGAACACAACCATAGGAACACTTGTACACAAGTGGTGGGCAAGCCAATAAGTGTAGTGTGGCTAGGCTATGATCAGACCATACAAGGTGTGCTCACCTCGACTCAACTGGATAGGATGGCACACCAGCCATTTGAGGAGTGACATGCACTACACTGATGTCACCACCACAGGACTTCTCACCATATGCCAATCAAAGTAGAAGAAACCACGGTTGAGCTGGTCAAAGAGGTGCCATCAAGAGGACCCAACACGGAGTATTGCATATCAAGATAAGGATGCGAGGGTGGAGTCGTGGAGGAGGATAGGCATACAGAAAGAAGCGAGACTAGTCCTGGCTAAGAGCATCTACAGCTAGAATGAAAGGATGAGGAGCTAGAGACCAAAAGAGAGGAAACTTGGAGTTGGGAGGAGTCAAAATACCATGTATGAGGAGTGTGCTCAACCAAGCCAATCATGTATGTAGGAATGAAATCTAAATCCCAGTTTGTGAAGATGGTGAGCAATGGTCCTCATGATTTGACTGAAGACTTTAGGGGTCAAAGCTATGGCAATGAGAAAAGTACAGGATTGAAAGACTCAATTCTGATGGACAAAACTCAGAAAACATCTTGAGGACAGACTGGATGAAAAAGCCACCACAAAGAAATTAAATTCTACTTCTAGAACCATGGAATAGCCAGAAACCATCTGAGAGACAATAGGTCAATAACTGGATAAAGAGGTGAGAGTAAAAACCCAGAGAAGGAGTTATACCATTTCCAATGTATCTTTGGTCAAATGATCTAAGCTTGCATCCTTGAAATGTTGAAGATATTAGGGATCAGATGAAGAAGAGAAATGGATAGAAAGACTGAGGGTGAGAACATGAAGAACACATCTGTTTGCAGAAAAATGAGACTAAAAGTTGGCAAAAGTAAGAGAGATGAGCACCCATTGGGCCAAACCTGACATGATAGTAACCAACGAGATGAGCAATGAACCTAATGTTGGGATGTGGAAGGAGGAGGAAGGCCTGGAAGATGGAATGGGAAGGGTAGGGGTAGATTGATCAAACTGAGGAACAGGAGTCGAAGGGAAAGGTTGAGAAAGATGAGAAACTAGGTAAGATAATGAAGATTGATGACTGTCTACTTCAGCTTGGGTCTCCAGAGAATCAGAACTGCCACTGAAGACTTCTGGGCAAAGAAATGGAACCCAATGAAGATCATATAGTTACAAAGGATAGATATGGACATTATTGAGGAGAGCATCCTGAGTCAAGTCCCAACAGCGGAGGAACCAGGTAAGGATGGGCAGAGCAGAAGAAGTGGTACAGATCAAGACAGTAAAGAGAATGGAACAGACATCTTCAAAAAACCAATCTGGGGCATGATAAAGTGCCTCAGACACAAGGTGGAAAAAGATGATGTAACACAGAAAAAGAAGAATATGCAAAAACTGAGCATTAGAGAGCAAAAAAGAAGAAAAAAAAAAGGGTTTGCTCCCCAAGGAGGCAAAAAGATTCTAGACTGGGAATCTAGAAAATAAAAGGAAGAATTACCATAAGCTAAGACAAAAGAGTCAAGAATGACAAGGCAGGTGGTTACAGGTGCAGAGCTGTTTGAGAAAGGAATCAGCATGAACCCTAATATCAGGTGAAAGAGGAAAACAAAGTTATTCCCGAGAATTGTTTTCTTGGAGTAAAGAATGGGAAGAATCAAAAGACACAGGCAAAAGAGAAAGAAAGTAAAATACCTGAGTAATCATATCCAGAAAGAGACGGGAAGAGTAGTTAAAGCTAACCCAAGTGATGGGAACAGTCAGTCAAATTTTCAGATTTCTGGTCATTCTCAAACATAGGTGAAAGGATGTCAGACAAAGGGACAGAAAGAGAAGGCCCAGTATGCAAGAGGGAATCCACAACATGGTGCACAACAGCCGTAACAACCTCAACAATTAACAAGTCTCCAGAAGCCATAAAAGAAATAGGTCCTGTGTTTGTAACTTCATCACCTTCACAGGACAAATTTGAAGTCACCATCATATCAGAATTCATTATAACATTCAACAATTTTGAAACAAAAGCTAAGGTAGAATGAAAATAAGGTCCTTTGTATGAATGCAAATCTTAGTAAATAGCCTGAAAAATCAACACGTCTTTACAAGGCAATGCCGAGGAAATGAATGCAAGATGGAACCCACAACATGGTGCACAACAGCTGTAATAACCTCAACAATTAACAAGTCTCCAGAAGCCATAAAAGAAATAGATCCTGTGTTTGTAACTTCGTCACCATCACAGGAGAAATTTGAAGTCACCATCATATCAGAATTCATTATAACATTCAACAATTTTGAAACAAAAGCTAAGGTGGAATGAAAATAAGGTCCTTTGTATGAATGCAAATCTCAGTAAATAGCCTGAAAAATCAACACATCTGTACAAGGTAATGCCGAGGAAATGAATGATGTTATTTTGAGAGCAAGTGCTTAAGTGGAGTTTCTGCACATGGAGGCTGTGCTGCTTTCCTATTGGTGGATAGCTTTTGTTTCATGATGATGTCATAATACATCAGCACTGTTCACATTAAACACGTGAATTTTAGGTGGGAGTTAGCTCAAGGCTAGCGGCATGCAAGTCTTGCAGGCAGATATGCAAGGGATATAACTATTTTATATGTGGAGGTATAATATCATCTCAAAAGTAACTAATTAGTATTTTGATACTAGTTTTTAAGTATTCAAAATATTCAAGAAATTTAAATGTATTTTAATTTATTCATATTTGGCTCAAATAATGATATCTAAAAATTGTGTATTACTTGCTCATCTTCTTCAGAAACAGTTTCAATTCCGAATAACAAATCTGTATCATATAACTCGATTTGATATCGAATCTGGCTAATCAAGTTTGAAGATAAGTGTTTTACAATTAGTAACTTGTTTTAAAACTTTTGTATACACACCAGCTTTAAAACATGTTTATTTAAAACTAGCCACTACTTTTCAGCACTGAAGTCAAGTTGTATATCATCATCACAATACCTAATTAATCCGAATACTTAAACATTAAATTACTTACAGTATTCCTAATAATGTAGCCTACACGTATCACATTTTTAGTTAAAAATTCTTTACCTTTGGTTTAAATTAATTAGAATAAATTCAAACTTCACTTACCCTATTTGGGATCTATAGTATGGAAAGAGTGAAATTTCCAATAATGTTAATATGTGATCAAAATTAAGAAGGGCAAATATTAAGTTATAATTTTTACTTGAGATCTGAATTAACTCTATCTCTGGAGCAAATACAGACTCTGGATGGAGCAAAAATTGCTGCAAGAAAGTAGCCACATTTTCTTTGTAAAGAAAAGCTCTGAGGAAATCTAGTGGTGAATAGCTTCATGTTTCGTTGTGGCTCACGGAATGAAAAGTTCACATCAGTCTTTCCTTTTTCAACTACTCTCCATGCTACTTCGTCTTCACTATTCTTGCAATCTCCTCCTGCTCCTACAATTGCCCTTTTCCTCTTGTTAGGTCTAGATCCAGACCCTGCTTTTCTTTTCCTCATAGTAACACAACTGATCTTTCTCTTGCCTTTACCTGTACTCACACCTGAAAGGCCTGCCACAGGATTCTCCTCTCTCTCACTTTCACCAGATCTATCCAAGTCAGATTTCTCAGTTTTAAAATCATCACCCTCAAGATCACTAGGAAAAAATTCATTTTTCTGCCTCAGAAGTTTCTCAAATAACTTCCTAGCTTGCTCAGAAGTGACGAGGCTTATCAGAGAAGTAGTGGGCATGGTTATTTTCTTTGTTTCAAAATAGAAGTTCAAAACACTTGTGTAAATTGCTGAAAACACATCTTTCTTCTATCAAATTGGCACTCAGGTTGAAGATATTTCATTGACAGAAGTAATTCTAGTTTTACATTAAATATATAAGGCATTCAAAATGTGTGATTGATCATGAATTGGAACAAGACCTACAAGCCGATATATATTGGCAGCTCGTCCAAGTAGGAAAACAAGCATGCCAATATATCAGTTGTTCGGAGACAAAGAGTTAAAAAGGATGAATCTAGAAGATATGCTACTTATCTGTGTTAAATGAAAAAAAAGACCAAAATTTTATGTAATACTCCATTACCCATGATAAAGATTAAAAACAACAAAATTTATGTGATGTGCATTACCTCTGATCAGGATTAAAGAGAGCAAACATATGACGACGTGACATGAAGCCAGGGTCAATATCCTTGATCTTCAGACCATCCAAATGTAACATGTACTTTTTGTCTCGTTCCTGTAAATCAGTACAGCTAGCAAGGTTATTAACAATCACAGAAAAAAACAACAACAAAAAAACACATGACAAATTCAATGCATGTCCATGTATTGGAACAATAGGCATAAATGCCATATTTTTTGGATTGGGTACAATGCAAAAAGAAGACGCTGGTTTATCTCAGATTAGTATTACTGACTAAATCAAATGAAATTTTTGTTTAGTTTAAAAAACATTAAAAAAATTACAATTATACATTTAGATAGTAATATGTGTGCACATTTTCAGGACAGACAGAAACTTGAGTATTATTATAATATATTATGGGATGTTATAGAAATGGTTTGTTTAATCATTATGGGATGATATATAGTGTTTTTTTTAAACAATTATGGAATATCATAGATGTTATGGCTTTTATGTTGCTTAGCAACAAAAGTATGACCTGATTATGTTGTTAGTCTATGTGCTGAAAGTGGACTTTGCTAAGATGATCATCAATGATCAAAGTTTGCTCTCAAATGTTCAGGGACCAAAGTCCACCCTGAAACATTTAGAGGCCAATGTCCACTCTGAAATGTTTAGTGATCAAAGTTTGCTATGAAATGTTTAGTAGTCAATGTCCATTTTAAAAAGTTAAGTGATCAATATCCACTCTGAATGTTTAGTGACCAAACTTCACTCTGAAATATTTAGGAACTAACGCTTATTCTAAAAATTGTTACTTTCTGAGAGGGAATTCCAGGAAAACAACATGACTTCCATTGTTGACTGACTGAAATAAATATTTTTATTTTCTCGATGTCTGTTTCCTTTTTATGATGAAGGGGATATTTAGTGAACAAAGCTTGCTGAAGGAAAGACAAAGTCTCCTAAGTTTTTTTTACAAAACTTCAACCCGTGATTTTTTGACAGGTATGTCAGCTAGTAAAAACATGTTTCACAGTATATTTAAGATATTTTTCTTCTGACAGTGAATGTGACAAGACTAATATCAGAGTTAAAATGTTTCTTTCAGAATCATTACAACTGGGACTCAGTTCATTGGTTCTAGATATTAGTTACTAAGTGAAGACTAACAAGGCCAATTATACAATGTTAGCTGTATGACACTATTCACTTCTATCTTTGAAGGTTAGAAAAACACAAGTTACAGGCAGTATAAGAGCAACATCAATAAAATTAATACTGTGACTACACAACATTTGTTTTAGTGAACGCTATCTTTCAGCTTTAGTTAGCAGTAAAGGTGTCATACATTTTTATCAACTTTAAAAAGAACTAAAAATGTTTGAGGAAAAGAAATAATTTAAAACCTGGTTGGTCAGATGCCCAACCAAAATAGTTTTCTTCCTCAGTTATAATATATATATATATATATATATATATATATATATGTATGTTTATATGTATATAGGTAACTTATGATGTGTTAAATGGTTTGAATATTACCCTAATGTTCAAAGACACTTGAGAGAATCCTTTATAAACACTCAGTTTTCTACATTCATACTGACCTCCTCATCCTTGTACCAGGAGAGTGACTCAGAGGTTAAGACAAACCAATAGTCTCGAGAACCACCCTTCATGATACCCAAGTTATGAATGCACATCCAGCCTTTACGAATCACCTGTAATTTATAGTTTAAACCTACTTACAAAAATTTACACTCTTCATTTATAGTTAAGTATCATTCACGTCAAATAAAACTAACATTAAGAGTACATAGGTACAATATTCTATTTAATTACAATAGCATCATTTGTTTGACAACTCAACTAGAAAGTTGCATATTTTTAGGATCTGAGAAAGTAGCCTGTCAAGATATCATTAAATGCTCTATCACATCAAAAGTCATTGTGATGTATTGAACAGATCATATATATGTCAGCTAAGAGGATGGCTTAAAACTCACTGAAGGACTTAAACAAATTATTAATTACTATTTAAATACTTGAAGCATATTTTAGATGAACTTCAAAATCCTCCAGTTTACAGTTAAAATAAAGAGCTATCACAAAGTACTTTTGATGCAATTAAAAAATATATATTTTACTATGTTATTCAGGTGAACAAGTAGTATTATCTTTAATGAGGTTATGTCATTTTTTTACCATAGTTTAGCTAATTTTTAGGGGTCTTATATGGATTTCTTGTCCATATTTTATCAATGTCAGAAGTGACTAATAAACAAATTAATAACTAAAGATGATTGTTTAACCAGTTTATAATCTTACATAAAAACAAACTACCTGATTTCCAATGGTTCGTTTTCCAGCTGTACTTTCTGCTTTCTGTTGAGCACTACAGGTAAAATAAAGAATGAAATAATAAATAATGCTATAATCTTCTCAACATACCTCTTCAAAGAAATCTGTAATATCCAAAATATAAATAACTATTTACCTGAAGTTCCAAATATTAATAAATAACTTCAATACTATAATTAGGTATTTACCATTAAACAATTTAATTGTGTTTTAGAGCAAAGCCACACTGGGCTATCTGCTTTGTCCACCATGGAGAATCAACCCTGGATTTTAGCATTGTAAGTCTGTAAATTTACCACTGACCCACTGGGGGACTAAACAAGTTAAACACATGAGAGAGGGAGAGAGAAAGAGATATATGATTTCTCGCAGCACACACAAGAAATGTATATGGTTTAAATGTTGAAAGCTCACAAAATATTGGTTTTCCAATAGGCCTAAAACTTGTAATAAAAACAAGACAGCTGCATATGTTTTTTTTCTACATTTCTCTTAATTTGTTTAGTGTGCTTCAAAATCAGATGTGTGTAAAAAATAGCATTTCAGATTTATCTTTAATTTCCCACATGTTATTGTTCAATAAGTTTTTCATTCAATACTAGAACACATTAGTTGGGCTGGACAATATGAAACAAAAGATTCTATGAAACACTATTTATATATGCATTATAATATTTTAAAAGTTAAAGTTTAAATGCCAAAAGCTAGTCAATTGTTAGAAAACCAATAGGCCTAAAAACTGTTATAAAAACAAGTTTTTTTTTTACACATTTCTCTTAATCTGTCCAATATACCTCAAAATTACAGGTGTGTAAAATACAGCCCTTTCCCATTTATCTTTTGTCTCCCACAAGTCACTGCCCAACAAGTTTTTGTTAAATACCAGAACTCATTGGTGGAGTTCATTTAGCAAATATCTACAAAATTAAAAGCAGAAATTGTTGAAATAATAAAATAAATATTTTATTTACGATTACAAAATTAAAGTTGTTTTTTCAGTGCTAGTACTGCAGTACCAAGCTATTAACAAAAATGACAAATAAGTCATTTAAGTTAGGACAACATAGAGTTTCATTCACTTTATGTAGTTTAAAGATAATTTTAATACATTGGCTATGAATTATCACAAATGACTGAAAACCACTGTACTATCTAAATGAATAATTATCTCCCATACAAAACATTTTATAAATATGAAATTTAAAAATTGTTGTACTAGATCGATATCTTATTTAATTACCTTAATACTATCTTATATGGTCAGATAAAAAAATCTGGAAGAGAATTAAATCATAGCAAGTCCATAACATGTATGTTAGCAACAAAGGAATACTAAATTTTTAAAACTAAGAAGTTGAGTGCATTTGGCCAGTTTATAACTTTTTTTTTTTTTTAAGTAGTTTAAAAGCAATAACCATCCATTGAAAAATGCTTTTAGTTTATACTGAATATAAGGTGTAAAAAACGACGACAACTCAGGATTGATAAATGACGCATAACTTTAAAAATAAAAAACATTACTTATTTTTGGGCTACCAAAATTTCATACTTATTTGTGTGTGTCCTGAAAACTGGGAAAATTTTACTAAATACAGTTAAATGGTTTTAGGAGGCATAGTCTGAATTATGTTTACATAGATATTATCATATTTTGTTACAGGTAACTCTTAGTATTGGCAGCATTACTGGATAAAGGGGTGGGAGCATGGAAGAGTGGTTAATACTGAAAAATTGGCAACCTGATGAACGTTGAGAAGTCAAAATTTTGGGTTCTGGTATTTAAATTTTTTCTTTTTTCAGCAACCCTATCTTTACCATTCAAACTACTATGATAACATTTTAGAAGTTGGTATTTCTACATAAAACAATATGCATTTGATTATAAAACCAACAATAATATCCAAAACACATTACATTACATTTGAAATATAACCATTAAATAAACACATCAAAATATCCTCTAAAGTGTCTATAATTTTGTTTTTAAAGCATCTGCTAAACCATATGTATTTGAGTATGTTCCACACTTCCTTAACATGTGATGTTTACTAAGTTCGTGTACATTCCACACTTCCTTAACATGTGATGTTTACTAAGTTCGTGTACATTCCACACTTCCTTAACATG